TCAGCTAGTTTGATTGATATACTGAAAAAATAAACAAAGATTTATTCATAGATAAGCATTCTGAATCATGTTCAATATATTTAAACACAAGAGTTATTGAGTCATCTATAGACAAAAAAAAAACTTCATGAGGAGAAGAATCAAGTGAATATTAATCATTTTTTGTTGTTCATTTTAGCTTTAGAAAAATTCAAAATGGAATATACATATATACCTCTGATTAAAATAAACGGAGAATCTTTTTCTTTACATTCATTATTCTTCATACAACGCAAATTAGCTTAGATTATATCAAAGATGAATGCAAAGAAAAGGTATGTTTCATTTATATTGATCATTCGATAGATATCAGTATTTATGTCATTAGACAAATACTTATTGGATCTATCAGTTCAAAGCAAAGGAATATGAATTTCATGCAAGAAAAAATATAAAAAATTGTCACGTAGAATGTAACGAAAACGTAAAACCATTATTTTGATATATTATAAAACTAGACGAATAATACAATAAAAATTTTTCATAAACATTAAATCTATTCATTAATCAAGAAAGTAATTAAGTGTGATGCACCATGGCAAACTAAATGATTAATGTAATGAAAGTTAACTTTTAATTCTAGTTATTAAAATTTGATCTAATTAATAGAACTAATTATAATCTACTATTGTTTTTTTTTTTTTTTTGACTATTGACATAAGTCTCATGATCGTTGCTATATAATAAAAATCACAATGTATTATTCATACGGTAGGGATACATTTATTAACAAGTAAAAATAAATAATCATACTCATTTATCGTTTCGTTTCCAATTTAAAATTTTTTTTTTACAAACCTTCGAAGTAAACTGTCATGTTCATTCATGTCATGCATAAGTTGTGTTAGTGTTGGAAAAACACCGCCAGCAGCAAAAAATATATCTTTTTGTGCTGGTTGTTGATATAATAATTTAAAACCTTGATTTGGTCTTTTTTCATAATAAAGTATTGCATGTATACAATCAATTTGTTCTGGTATAGAAAGTTTTTTTTCTTCTATTGTTGGTAAAATAATTGGTGGTTGTAAAGATGAAGAAAATGTTGAATTATAATTTTCTGGATGACGAATTGTAAGACGAACTTTACGAGATGATTGATATTTTGATAATATATCATTAATATTTACCCAATTTATATGTGTACCATTTATTGCTAAAAGCCAATCACCAACTTTAATACGACGATGACGTCGTTCAACAACTCCACGTACAAGAACAGGTGGTTGAATTGTTGATGATGATGTTGAAGAACTTGTATCCGGAAAAATACCGAGTACAGCTTCACATAAACTTGTATGAATAGATGAATTAAATGATGATGCTGGACGACAACGAAAATGTACATGCTCAACATTTGATAAATCTTGTCGATAGGATAGATGTGCAAATGAAGTATCAAAATTAATTATCTCATTGTTTGTCGTTGTTGTTGGATCGATTGTAACTGGAATTTGTGTTTCAGATGAGTTTATACTTGACACATCAGATAAAAGATTTCCAAGTCGATGGAATACACCTGATCGTGAAAGTACCATTGGCACAGCAGTTGTTGACATTTTTATTGAACAAAAATATACAATTGTTCAATGAGTCAATCTCATACTTTGTGTTTTAATTATCCATAAATCTCATCGTTGTCTTGACGATGATCAAAAAGATTTCATTAAAAAACTTGCAGCTTATTTTAATAATTAGAACATAAATGTTAGTTATTATTAATTTATTTTATGCTCAAGCGCATTAAAATAAGTATAGGATAGATGTCACTACAATCTTGTTCAATGAATCTTTTGCACTGTTGAAAAAGTCTTCGTTAGAAATTTTGCTTTTTTCCTGTGGTATCGTTAAGATTTCATATATTGAAAAACAAATTTCATCTTGCCATAAACCTATCTATCATAATTCAAATACCGAAGGCTCTGAAGACGGATTATTTTCTTAAAATAATTATTGACAACGAACAAATGAATGCTTATCAAGTTTTAAAGAACAAAAGTATGGCTTCTCTCTTGACAACAAAAAATTTATTTCCATGAAAACCGAAGATTGTGAGACAAACACTTGCTGCGAATCATTCTTCTTTTATATGCACAGTATATTGTGACAAGTATTGACTTACAAAATTAATATGTGATCAAGAAAAAAAAGAACTAGATCAAATGGTTATTAATCATCAGAAAATCAGATTTACATATTATTTAAACACAAACTGTATTTAAACAATGTCTATTTTAAAGTATAGCGAAAACTGAACAAAACCATCATTTGATGTCCACTTTTCTAATAACTCACAAAGGCAGCCTCAGATCTATTTGAAGTTGAGAAGTCGACATTTCTCATGTTTGAAAAAATCTACGACTCTTTCGTTTCTCAGTTAGTCTGATTCAGAAAAAAACAATGATTTAATGTATACTTTTCGAGACAAAAATTCTAATTGGAAGATTTTGAAACAGCAGCTCAGTACGCATTACTCATCTCGGAAATGATTTGTTCGAAGTTTATCACAAAGACTCATTTTTTCAAAATAAGCATCGTCTGACAGAAATGCTCTAACTCGAGTACTTTTATTTATGTGCATACTTCACATCTGAATTTCTCATTTTGACGAGACATCTTAATGTTATCTACAATGGGATTATACATAATTACATTTTGTGATTTCATTGAAAGTTAATTACAAATACAACAGATTTACACATTTTAGAATCCATACATCTTTTCAGTAGAGTTCGAATGATAGATCTTTTCATAGCATTCAAGATTCATCGAAGATTCAAACACGTTAGTGAGAATCTATAGGAATTCAATCAACAACCAATGGTGGGAAATTCTGCCGGCTTTGATAGTTGGTTATTAGAGAGTAGCTATCGGAATCTGACTGTTGGATCCATTAATGACTCTGCAACTCGACTTCTTACTAAATCCTGTCGAATGATCGAATTTCACGAGATCCAATCATACGCATTGATCTGTAAATGTTCTTATGAAATGAATATATTAACAAGAGACGATTAATTTTTATGTACAAGAGAATTAATTTGGTATATACTTTTGTGATTATTAACAATCCATTTTACATAAATGAAGAAGAAAGAGAAAATAAAAGTTATACGGTTGCTATTATTTATTGCTTTAAATGAAGCACTTTACAATTTTACCACGCAGGCTGACTTATAAAAAATCAGTTCTTTACGTCAGGATGAATGTAAGGAAATAATTTAGGCAGACATTGCACATTGCTGAAGTCTTGCGTTCCAATTTCGTTGAATCAGATAACGCTTGGTGCCAATTATCATATTGTAGTAAGCCCGATTTGATAGTTGATGAAGACTTCCATACGACCAGGCACTAAAATTACAAAATTAATTACACTGCTAATAGATCTATGTCTGAATATAATCTAGGCAATCGGTGTTATAGTGTGTCTCAAATGTTACAATGGCAATATTCATTTATCGCAGAAAGATGTAACTGATCTTGAAGAACACAAATGTTTATTCAATGTTGATTTCGGAAAACTTGTCCCCTAATAGAATACTGTTTCAGCAGACCTTCATTTCATTTGCAGTTGAAATAATCCACAGATTGTTCCTCTTTTGATTCATATATATATTACTCGTTGGAGTGAAGAAAAACTAGTCTGAGCACAAATGTAGTACCGAATTCATAGAGCTAACAGATCTTAGCTTGAACATGTTGCACAGCGTGACACACGATACTCTATCCGAATCAATAAACAAGTCGAAATATTTGAAATCAATTTAAAGAAAAGGATAGGCATTCATAACACCAGAAATTGACCCACTAGCTGTAATCTACCTGATGTTTTGGATCACAGATAAAACAATAGATCTCAACGTCCTGAACATATTGCTGCTGTTTTTAGATATGTTTAGATGCTATGTTACGGAAAATTTTGTTTCTACTACCTATGATGTTGACGATTCTTTAGATTGTTTTTCATTATAACTAGACTATAGAGAGACTTTGAAAATAACACAAAAAAGTGGAGATTATCAAACTTAGTGATTTGATTTTATCATTGTGAAAAGTCATAAAGAACTTATCAATTTGCGAATTGGTTTCGCTATATCTCGAGAACAACAGAATACCTATTCCTAATTTTTTCAGTATAGCTACAGAATCGGTTAGCATGACAAAATTACAACAAATAATAAGGACTAATAAACTCAATGTTTAAGAAACGTATCAATATAGTACTATTGAAACATGATCTATTTTGCATCTCAATTTTGTCTATCTCAGTTGGACGTACTGAGTTGCAGACAAAAATGATGCAACACAGCAATGATCACTTCTCTGTGAGACGGAGAAATGATCTCTGATGGTTTAGTTGCTAAGGCTTTCACCTGATGAGTGAAATGCACGGATTCTGGAGGGTCGATGTAAATGAGTATGTAGATATAGATAGATGCCTATCAACACCAGCTGTTCCCACATCCATCGATCCAAAAGCAACTTCATCGAACAGTTTTGCCTTAGTTTCTTGAACTGGAACTGGAACTGATCCAGTGATACTTAATGAGTTTTATTGATTAATAATCACTCATCGATGAATCATCAATCGACAAAAGCAGTACCAGTTCTAAAGAATGAGAGAAACATGCCTACTTAGTGTTTTGGAACTATAACCGTTGCACTCCTACTCTCCACAGATCTTTTAACATGCATGATTGCCGTCAATTAAAAAGCAAATGATGAGAGTTGTCACCAGAAGAGTTCCTTTCAATGATTTGTTTCTCGGAAGGAATGTGCAAGAAAAATGTATTTGATATTTCATAGACAGTACTTTACTTCTTTATTTACCATTTATCCGCATTTTCACCTATATCTCCATTTCCGTTCGGACTCTTCCATGCATTCACGAAGGGATCAGACATCGCTTCCACTAATTCATGTGCGATTAGATTCAACATGCCATCAACACCAGGATTACCATTAGGTGAAACATTTCGGTTGGTAACAGTGCAATGGGTCATGCATTGTTTAGGATTTCCTATAAATCCGTAAACGTATGGTACATATCCAATATAGAAATACAAATGATATCCACAATAACCGTTACAAAAAGATGAAGTTGTTGACAAGCTTTCCTTCACATCTGCAGAACTGAGCACCAAGTAAATACCGTTTGGATCACTTGGTAGTTGTCTCTTCGAAATACTATTTAAAATTATATTTTGTACACTCAAACCAGTAAGTTGAGTTCCATAACTGTAGTAGTCCGTCGCTGTCTTTCCGAGAGTAAGCGGACCTTTTATGTATACTTTGGGA